TGCGAAATGTCCGCGTCCAAAGGGTCGATGCGTATGTGAACCAACTATTTAATTATCTGTTTTAGAACATTGAAATGTTTCTAACACTGACAAGAGGTATAATAAGTGAATAGTTAGAAGGGGCACTACTTATCAGAACGAATCACTGAAATCAGTGAGTGAGTTGGGTTTCTATAATCTCTAGCTTCTTTTCGGCAGTCTGACATTGGCCGCTTGGTCACACTAGCTGCTGTGAGTCGATTTTGCTCGCAAACGCAACTGAGCGTGACAAGAGACTGGGCTACCGTCTGCAAGGACAGCTAAATAAACTTGGAGGCAATATTTGTTTTACGCATTTTACAACACTGATTGGTTACCCGTGATCTATGAAGATTTGGACAAAGGGCGCATGTTAATAAATTTCTTCAGCCTAAACAAACAGACAAAAAGAACGACAGAAGCTCATCGGATGTCGTTATTTGGAAATACCCCTGGTGGTTATAGTTTATAATAAGAAAAGTATCCCTGCAGTGAAAGCATTTTCGGATTTCGGATTGCGTGGGTAAACTACTCCCTAGTTGTCATCCATGTTTTCTGGTATAACCCTACACTTGTGTATTTGTCGTCATTCAATTGATGCTCAGTTAATTTATTACAGGTATAATTACTGGAGGCACCACTCAGATTACCTGATAAAGGTTCCCATTAGGCATTTCGTGTGTCTGGGGTATTTATTCAATTCAAATCCAGGTATAAACCCAATCCCGGTTTGAAGTGAGGTGAAATGTATGTCATATAATATGCACGTTTCAGCCCAGCAAGAGGAGTGATCACCATCATTCCTCGCCATCAAAGGATAAGCAGAAATTACGTTGATTGAATAATCACTGTTATTTTGCACAGTGGATTTGTCAAAAGTAAGCGTTTACATGTGTATGTTTACTAAAGCAGACGGAATACCCCAATATCTGAGCGTGAAGTGCCGATGTGAAAACAACATACTTTGTTCAAAGCCTATATAACGTTGATTGATTGCTCATTGTTATCTAACTCAATGGATTTTTTTAAAGAACCGTGGACATTATGAAAACAGTTGTCACGTGGGCTTTCTCAGCTGACCTTTGAGACTTGACACCTATGTCAAACAACTGAAACAAACTAAGTGATCAGTTGAGAAACCAAACACGGGTTATAATATCCCGAAACGATAAATATATTTTGAAATATTTGATTGTTACAGAGACACGTGACATCCAATAAGTTTCTTTGTACAGCTGCAGATGTGTGGAATATTGTTCCTTTATGTGAATATTTACGGTTGCTATCCTCGAACAAGGCAGCTGACTAAAAATATACATATAACTTTGGTAGGTTGTAATTATGATATTTGCATTTTGTTTTCATTCATTTGCTGTAGCATTGAACAGAATCATTCTTGTTCCTCTACGTCTTGGTTGAGAAGTTCTTCGATGCGAGATAGATGTTGTTTTTCACAAGTCTTTTCCTTTGTATGCGTGTATATGTTACAGTCAATGTGTAAAATATGATTCACTCAGGCAATTTATAGAATGTTTAAATATTTCAGGCGATTGACTGAAAAATCTGTTCATTTATTTAACAGATTGACTAAAAATGACTAAGACTGTCAAAAGGGCTTAAAAACATCACAATAGAATAATTATGCTGGGATTAGAATCCAAACAATATAGAAATGTACTTTTAATATCCTTTCATTTTCAGTCACTTGGTGATGATATTAAACATAAAAATGTTTGGATTTCGTCATCATAATAATACAGATGGGCATATTTTTCAGTAAATTTGTGAAATAACTGAATATTGAGGCATTTAATAAATTTCCTAAGTGAAACGTTTGCTCATTTTGACTGTAAAAAAATAAACACCATAAAATAAGCAATGGGCAGGTGAAATATTTTCTTTGTGTTGCAAGTCAAAATAGCGTAAACGAAAATCACACAATTACCAAGCAAGTGACTTATCAAAACACCGTCACCATTAATGATGCTACCCACAAAGATACCTACATTTCCTTATTATTTCCAAAACTGTATTTCATTTTGTTGATAAATGTGACCATACGCCCTTATACTGTCAATAAAAGTGACAACTGCGCTTACATATGGCGCAGCACAGGCCGCGAACTAGTCTAGATCTCTGCTATATCATCCGGGTACTCACGGGGAAAAACAATAACAAAGGCAACAACTCTCGGGGAATTGCTTTAGGTAATTGCCCATTTAACAGTATTCAAGTTATATCACGGCGTGTCAGCTTAATGTGGGAGGAAAGCCCAAAGTGATGCAGGTCTCAGACGTTTACCATTTCGGTGAACCCCACGAGCACGGGTATGGTGCTGACAAGCCTAGAAACTTAATTGGGGCGAACCGGGTTTCGAACCCACAATCATAGGTTTCTGGAGTGCCCAAGGGACGCAACTATGCACAGAGAATCGCAACACCTAAGACGACTGGGCCACCCGTGCCCCCCACTGAAATCAAAATCGGGGCACCATGTAATAAATCCTGAAGACGCTCAAATAGCAGTTCATGGAAGATTTACATTCTCTCATCAATTCTAAGAAATGTACTTGAAAAAAAAAATTGATTAAAATTTCCCAATCAAATCTAGTTACATGTATAATCAGCCTGATAAGTCTATGTAAATACATACATGTATATTCTAGTGTCTTCCTCTAAAACACGAAACCAGCTCTTCCCTAAGTTTATTTCAGAAGCTTCGTATAAAGTTGTGTTATTTCAATGTGGTAACTGTACATGTATGTCTTTTACTTGCAAATACCTGACTTGCATTTGCATGTGTTTGTGGTGGATACGCTCTAACCTGATTCATGAGTATGATTCATTAACACATGCTTATGATATAGTCGGAATGGAATGGAAAAGAAGTAAATTATTGAAATGGTTTTGTTTATTTTGTTTCCAATAAAAAGCGTATTCTTTTACAATGTTAATAGTCGTCCACACATCAAGAACAAGTTACTGTGTAATACAAATACCTAACGACGTAATATTTGTGAAGGACTTCGTTTACCATAGGAAATCTTTAATAACCAAACGATTTTGTCCAGACTATTTCACATTATATTCAGAATGAAACTTATCACGAAACATTATGGGATACTAGACATGCACAAAACATTAGTTGGTTATGAGGTTTCCTGACGGTCATTTTGGCCGACACATGATAGTGTTTGATTCTGTTCTATCTTATTTGTTGCCGTGAAAATCACCTCAGCTAATGTGTGTACGGGTATTTGTGATTGGAGTCATGACCACAAGATCACCTTACATTTGCAGTCTAAATAAAGTATAGATATCGGTATTGGTAAAAGGAAAAGAAGCTTTACACTATGATCTTAAATAATGCAGAGTAGCATGCCATGGAAAACGTAACTCAAAATCAGTCAAGGAAAAAAGTAATACAATATATTGTACCGTACATTTTACACAACTGTCACAAGATAGCGTGACTATTCTGTCTCGAAAGTGTTGCGATAGTGGCGTGAAAGTGGCGCGATAGTGCTGTGAAAGTGGCGCAAAAGTGCCGCGATCTTGTCTCGAAAGTGGTGCAATAGTTTCGCGTTAATGGCTCAAAGGTGGCGCGATAATTCCGCGTTAGTGCCGCAATAGTGGCGAGAAAATTTCGCGAAATTTTCGCGAAAATAGGGGAAGTTACTTATGAAATGTAGTGTACCTAACAAAATATGTCTTTATGTTGAAAAAAGCAAATCACTTTCACACAAAAGTGACAATATAACTGTATATGCATGTAAAAAGCATGTTGTTGTCACTGTGATGACTTAAGTTTAGGCAACAAAGTGAAAACTTTCTTATCAAGCTCTGACAGTCAACTGAAATACAAATACTCTTACAAGAAGGCCACTGTGATGATCAACTGTATTGATGAAAAACTTATGAAATGAACAGCTGTGTTTTAGTTTGAGGTTATCATGTGATGAATGATGAACAATATTTGGTGTCAAGGTTAGTCATGAAATCCTGTTACCTGTAGACAACAAAAGATCAATGAATTTTATTTTTGCACATGTAACTATCATAACCATATCACTACACAAGAAAATGCTGAGGTAATGATAAAAATTGTTGTACATTAAATATGTAGCTTATTTCACTTATGGATGGTTTAGATTCCATATCTGAGCACTTAATAATTTAAAATTTCCAAAATTTCTCTTACTTTCAGATATGTGCCAGCTGCTGGTAATCATTTTGAGAACCAGACATAAAACTAGTTTCAATATGGCTGCCATGGCAAAATTTGTATAGACTGCTTGTTGAGCCGCTTTGAAATACTGTATTCGACGTAATAAGCACCCCGTCCTAATAAGCGCCCACGGAGATATTTGCTAATATATTGGCTAGTGAACAATCCCAATTAGCACCCCTTCCAATTGATCAATGTACACAAGACGCATTTATTCTTGTATAATACGCACTCGTGTGTTATATGCACCCTTAAATATGGGCAATTAAATTCTGGAAAATATATCTGTCGTGTATAATACAACTTTTCTTCTGTATCATTTCAGGCTGTCAGCATAAACCACAAAATTTACGATCTTTCAACTCTCTCTTTTCTCTCACCAAAATTATATTCTAATAAGAGCCCCCTATTTCTAATTTTGAGAGCGCCCTGGGCGCTTATTACGTCGAATACGGAACATGTATTATTTCACATCGGTTCGTCTCCTGTATTATCAAACATAATTCAAAGTTTAGTATATAATTCTCCTATGTCACCTGTGCGTTTTCCTCTGTCATGTACTGGTACTAAATGGATACAGACTAAATGCAGTGACAAAGACTTGAGGTTTATCGTTTACATGAAATGTCCGACTAAACACAGTATGGTTTGTCTGCAATGGCAAAGTTTGTTGAAAAGACCATGCACAGTGACATTATAAACCTGTTTCTTTTGGGTAGGTGAGTTTGATATGAACCTTGACCCTGGTACATTACCTTCATCTCTGTCCTGGAAATATGTGATAGTCCCTTTCGATCTCGAGTTTGAAAATAGGTCATCAGATAGTCACGCTGACTCTGTACCTAAAACAAATATGTAAGCTGCAGATGACAGACAAACAGGCCTTGAAATATATTTACTACTGTCAGGGATCTGGTTGTATCAAAATTTGCTGACACCTTAAAGACAATATGTATTTAGTACCTAAGCAGAGACCGGCACAGGCATTTGGGCAAGTTGGAGACCGATCAGTGCGAGCACTTTCACACGAGAAAGCATGAGATTCAAAGGTTTACATGCAAGGTTTTCGAGAATTGACTAATCCATCTGTCAAACCATTTACATATTTATAAATGTTGAGTTTTGTTAGTTTTCCTGATTAGCTAAAGGACATAATATATAAGTCACTCTAAATGTATAATTTGACATTCTTTCGAATTTTTAACGAACGGAAACATCGTAACACATTCCATTGTTCTATCATACCACAAAAAAATGGTGGCCTGCAAGAAATTCACAATTTATCCATTTTTCAGTACAAATTACTCCATTTAGCCTGCAACCTTGGGGTATCGCTAAACGGAACAAAATGCACCCACTAACCTTTATGATTATTCGTGTTCTCTGTATCAGATATCATTTATTTTATCAAACAATGCATATTTTACTGATAAAAGTTCATTATTTACATTAGCAGCTCCGAGTAAAAGCCGGGCCTCGCACTCTGTTTGACAAGGGAGAGAACTCCATCGTATCGCGGTACAGAGTAAAGCTGTGCATGGAGGTCCGAATTGGACAAAAAGAGAACATAATTCTACCAACCACTTGGTATGATCATGCCAGACATCAGTGATTTGTCCAGACAAGTGCAAAGACAGCACAAGTAAAATTCTAAATGTGTTATCAGCAATAGGTATTCAATGCATATTTACCGAAAAGTAAGAGAAAAATATTTTTATTAGTCAACATCAAAATATCAGAAATGATATTTTAAGATTGTTTAAAAAAAATTGGATGACAATAATTTGTCACAAAATGGAAAAATGTTAAAAGTCAACAATAAATATATAAAAAGCACTCCTAGTATTCCCAAAGTATGTATTTATCTTTTGGTTACTAGTGAAGAACATATTTCTAAGTTTGGCATTATGGCCCTTATGATCTCCCAATAGATTCTGGGCACCGAGCGGGAAAAAATGTGCGGACTACGTAACTTCCGTTACCTCATTAGTCGCCATGAATATGCAGATGATCTAGTTCAAGTCGATAGAGAAAGTTTACTTTGGGAACTGCGGGTTATATCGTTGGCCATTGATAGATGGGGGTAAGGCAATATTACAACAGATGCCAGAAATATGTATCAACGGATTAATAACTCCTTACTTACAGTAGACGGAACATTCCGAGGAAATTGAAATTGTTTACGAAGTGAGCACTTCCTGGTTACTGATTTGCATTAATAGACAGCCGCTAAGAGGCGTGTCCCGCGTGAACTACCGGAAATCACAAATGCCGCGATACGATGAATGCCGCGGTACCATGGGGTCCGAGTATAATATGACTGGAGTCAATCGGAAGATTAATTATATTCCTTTGTTGTGACATAATTGTTTTCGTTAGAAAAGTATCAGAAAGTATCACTAAAATTATGATCTCACTACTTTTTGGTGACCACACTTCATTACCCAACACCATATGGTACATGTATCTCGGTTAAACATCGTTATAATAATCTAAAAGTAGATTTTAACATTTGACTAGCATTTTGCGCATGCAGCCATGCTAAAAAAAATGTTAAAATTTTCTTTCTGAATTTTTGAGATTTTAGAAAAAACATTGAATAATCCAAGTGATGATTGTCTTGTTGAGATGGTGTTTGCTACAATTTACATTGTAAAGACGAAATGTTTGGACAACTTTCTCAGCTAAATGACAAATAATTTTGACCATATAATTTACTCATTTTGAAAATAATTAAATCATAAATTTAAATCAGAGCTAATTAGGATACCAGTGAACAAACTTGTTTTCGTTTAACAAAAATATTATCTTTGTTAAATTATGATGATATCTTCCTCGTTTCTATTAATTTTTATTTTGTACCCGAGGCCACAATAAATTAATTACTTTAATTTGAAAAGTGAACGGGAGGCATTTGACAAAGTGCACATGTTAATCCTGTTTTTACACTATCTGGTTATAAAGAGTGTTCATTGTATATTTGGATTTATGTTTGTTATAAAAATTTATTAATTTTATTCAAAACTTCATTCATTACTGTTTACAATAATTTTGATAAAATAATGATTACATTAAAGATATTGGCACTTTGAAACTAACGTTAGTTGATAAAGACTGGATACATATATCATATAAGCCATATTTTGACTCATTAAAAGTCCAATTTGTTGTAATTTGACTAATACATGCCAACATATTATTATCACGATCAAATTAGCAAAAACGCGGGAAGGCTTTAAAGATGACCCGCCAAACTGTTCCATATATTAAAAAATTCAGTTTGTATATCAAAGTGCTACGCTTATGGTTATTATTAATAATTTATGCAACTAATAAAAAGATATGGGAATATACCATTGATGGATAAATAATTTCAGATACGAAGTCTTCCAATCCGGGAGAAAATGTGTGTACAGCTAATTGCTATTTCTGGCTTAGCTTACGAGATAAATACACACAATAATTTAAATCTCTGCATAGAAAACAATGCCTAGCAGAACAGGTAATATAGACTTCTAATTAAGATTGTATATCATCCACGTTTAGTCACAATTTTCACATTTTCATTGACCAAGTTTGTTATTGATCTTCTGTTCATTCCTCTGATGCAATACAATGTTGTTTTTAACTAAAGTAATACTAAAAAATATGATCCCAATAGCCTAATACTTGAAATATCAGTGAAATATCAGCATGTGCGCTTGAGGGGAAGTGAAGGGAATAAACTCTCAGCATTTAAGCATTGCGTAAGATTGTTTACTAGACTTCTGAAGTTCTCAGACAAGAGCATCTGTGCATGTGTCCTGCATCTTGAATTGGTTGGTTGGTTTGTTGTTTAACCCAGCACTCAGCAATATTCCAGCTATATGACAGGGGTCTGTAAATAATCGAGTCTAGACAAGACAAACCATAGATAAATATCATGAGCATCGTTCCACGCAATTGGAATCAATGACATGCATCAACCAAGTCAGCAAGCCTGACCACCCAATCATCTAGTCGCCTTGTACGGCAAGCATAGGTTGCTAAAGACCTATTCTACCCCGGATATTCACTGGTACATCTTGAATTGACAGCTGCTAGGATAAAAACAGCAGGGAGTCCCAATGTATCAATTGCACTCATGGGCGAGGCAGTGATCACTAACTTAATGATAGTCTGCTGCTGATGCCTGTCCCTCGGTATGTGGTCTCTGCTTTAAGTCACATGCCAAAATACAAGGTAATGTTCATGGTTTTAGCACAAACATACTTACAAAGATTGTGGCAATATTGGTAACCAGAAACAAAAGATGTTGTCATTAATTTTCTATGTAATGTGGTCTGTTAGATGTAAGAGGAAAGCATACTACTGACAAAAAATAAGGTAACTAAGTATTGGAGAAAACACGCTCACGAGGTTTTGGTACACAGAGCATGCCCTGGGGAGAGGGAAAAATCAAGGGGGCGAAGCCCTCATGGTTTTTCCCGACCCCCAGGGCATGCTCTGTCTACCAAAACCGAGGGAAAGTGTTTTTCCATACTTATAAACCGAAAAAAGAAACTTAAAACAACATTTATCAACGTTTTTATGTTTCGAACATACTTTCCATGAACCTTAGGAAACGCGTGTAAAATATCTGTTGCTGGCGTACGGATCTTGAAAAGGACATTCAAAAAACCAGTGAGGCTTATCAACACCTCTGTAGCCTCGTGGTACACTCAGGTACATACAGATATGAAGGTTGTGAGTTCGATCCTCGGGAATATAAAGAAAACATTTGTCATTTGATTTTACATTTCACTACATGTTACAATCTGAACGGAAGTTATATTAATAAAATACCCAGGACATTATATAAAATCCCTGGGATATTATATAAAATCCTGACTGGAAAGTAAAACCTCACAATAGGTTTTAATGCCTATAGAAAGAAGTCTCTTACTTAATAGCGATCCCAATGAATAGGTTTATAATGATGCAAACAGCTATCATTAAGGTGTACGTTTACAATACTGTGGTATTGCATCTGAATGCAACATCTTATCAAAATGAAACTTTACATCATGCATGGACGTTATGTGATGTATGGGTACACAGAAGCCAAATTGTGTGGGTCTATAAGGGAAATCACAATCACTAATGCAATGGAGTTGTGCACACACTTAAAAATGCCTCCGAGACAGATCTCAATGAAAAGATAAAATGATGAATTGTGGGTATGATGGAGTGGGGACGTCAATATCCCAAGTTGCCAGAATATTTGGTTGCAATGAAACTTATGCATGCCAGGCCTTAAAAAACATGACACCTCAAAACAAGATCATCTCATTACATTTAATGCACCTCACAAAAGATTTAAATGTGCTCCTGTTATCAATAGAGAATTCCATACAGTAACCAGAAGGCAAATTTCAAAATCTACTGTTAAAAAACATCTGTATGGAGCCCGCCTGAAACGATGATAATAAATGGACTATGGTCGAAGCAAACATCGAGTGGCTATTAAAAATATCGTCATTACCCCCCCGTATGTGATGATGGGTAAGGCACATAATTTAACTAAGATAATAAATAGTGGCATCGTACTCGCGGCTTATATCCCATCAAAACGAAAAAGTGTGTTAGTCTCTCCCCTGCCAGAAAACCCAGGTCATATGTTATATAGTCGTCCGGCAATCCAAAACGTTAGTTTAAATTTGGTTACTGAATTCAATGAAATTAAAGTTAACTTGAGTGCAATACCTAATCTTTCTACTCTTATTATTGAAGTCTTGTTCAGAGATGCACCGGTAGATGCCTTCGAAATATTACCGGGTTTATCGATTAAATGGCTAAAGAAACACCAACGTCAACGTTGCAG